AACTTGACAGCTTTAAGGCTTGTGGACTTCAACTCCCAGAATTCCTCTTCCAGTCATGTTAGCTCAGGAATTCTGGCAGTTGAAGTCCACTATTCTTAAACTTGCCAAGTTTGAAGAGCCTTGATCTATTCATTCATTCTTTCCTTCCTTCCTTCCTTCCTTCCTTCCTTCCTTCCTTCCTTCCTTCCTTCCTTCCTTCCTTCTTTCTTTCTTTCTTTCTTTCTTTCTTTCTTTCTTTCTTTCTTTCTTTCTTTCTTTCTTTCTTTTTCTATCTATCTATATCTATCTATCTATCTTACTTACCTATCTATTCTATCTCTCGCTTTCTATCCTACCTCTCTTTCTATTCTATCTATCCCATCCTTCTCTTTTTCTCCCACTATCTATTCTATCTATCTCTCTTTCTTTCTATCTATCCCACCTCTCTTTTCCTGTCTATCTATCCCAGGGGTCTTCAAACTTGACAGCTTTAAGACTTGTGGGCTTCAACTCCCAGAATTCCTCCTCCAGTCATGTTAGCTGAGGAATTCTGGGAGTTGAAATCCACAAGTCTTAAAGCTGTCAAGTTTGAAGACCTCATCGTCATCATCGTTATTATTATTATAACTTCTTTTCATTGCGAGAGGCCACAGTTTTAACTGAAGGATTCTTGGCGGAAGCCTCTTCCCCAGCCAAGGCCTAAAACCCCACCGTGTTTTTTAAAAAGTGGTCAGGTTACGAAACTGACATCCTCCCACAGGCCCAACTCAAACCGTTTGCTCTTCCCTGCTTTCCCAGAACAATCCTTTCCTTTGAAGGAACCCCACGGGGCAGCGTGCAGAAACGGGCGTGGGCGCGCGCACATTTCACAAAAGACAACACCGTCCATTGAGAGCAAGCCGGCACGAAAGAGGTGGACAACCTCCAGTCTGGCTGATTGATTTTTTGGCAAGTGGGCCTGGGGCTCAGAGGGAGAGGTCGGGTGGGGTGGGGCTGAAGGCAGGCAGAAACCTTGCAAGTTTTTCTTTCCTCCCGTCTGCAGGAGAGAAGGAAAGAAAATAAAATAAAAACAAGCCCCTTCCCTTTGCATGAAAACTTTGGGGAAAGGCAAAAAAAAAATTTTTTTTTCTGACCTGGTTGGATTAATTGTCGGATTCATCGTTCCTGTTTTGCTTGCTTTTGAGCCAACTTCCAAGATTTTGAGCCTTTTCCCCCACTCCACCCCAAAAAATAAAATAAAACCCACTCATTCAGCTTCTGTAAATATATAGAAAAAAAAAAACACTTTACGAGTTGATGATAGTCTTTATTTTACTTTTCCACTCGTGAATAATGAGCTGGCTGACAGTTCCCTTTTCCCAAATGAAGTTTCTTCTCTTGGGGGGGATTTGCCCCCACGAAGATTTTCCGGTTAATAATAAACGTTGAAAAATCAACTTGTCTGCTTTCCTTTAATGGGGCAGGTTGTGGTTTGAAAGGGGAATCTTTTTTATTTTCAGATTTCAGCTCATGCGCAAAACGGACCGATTTAGAATCCATCCTTCCCAATGCAGACTTTCGATTCCTTTCTCCTCTTGGTTTGCTTTCTTTATTAAATTTATTGGCTTCCCATCCTGCCATGCAGGGTAACTCCGTGTGGCTTACCATCTTAAAAGATAAAGTATATGTCCGATATCTCCTTGCGCATATAATAACGGCGGCAAGAATTGCACCAGCGCAGGCTTGGCAGATGTCCATATTCTGTCTGATGAAGTTATAATTCGTAAAATTCTGGAATGTGCAGAGATGGATAGACTTAACGATGAAATTAAATGATAAAGAAGACTCAGAATATTACTGAATTTGGAACGTTTGGTATCAATGGGTAGACAGTAAAACATGAAAAATATAAAGGAGGAAATAAAATTGACATATTGGTAGGACTAACGAGAAAATTGAAATTGAGGAACTGCCAGAAAATGGAGATCTATGTAAATATTCATATTTAATTTATAATATTTATGTAGTTATATTGTATATTTAAAATACATATAACACATCTCATGGCTATGGAATAGAGAGCACAGTACATAACACTAAATATAGATTTATATCTGATTTTTCTCTTTTTAGATAGGTACTTAGTGTTAATATATTATTTTTCTTTTTTGAACCAATGACCTATATGCATGAATCACTTTTTATTAATATTAAGGCACTGTGAATCAGTATTACCAATACTATGAATAACTGTCAAATATTAATTGTATAATGTGTATTGTACTGTCAAAATGATGCTGAAAGGTATTGACATATCTTTTATAGAAATTTTTGCATTTTTTAATATTTTGAATATTTATAAACTTTTTAATATTTTGAATTTCAATAATTTAAAAAAATTTTTTTTTAAAGATAAAGCTATATAAAGAACAAACAGGCAGTAATTCACTTGCAAACTGTAAAAAAAAAATTTTTTTCCCAGCAGGAGAGGAGGAGAATCAACCAGTTTTGCAGTGAATTAAATGATTAACGAATTAAAAATATAATTTCGTTCAGTTACGTGCCCTCCAATCGTTTTCCCACCCCTGTAGATGGAAGTTTTCCCCCTAGACCTAAGATTTAGCTTCCGTCCATCCAAAAACCTTTTTTTTTTTAATTTTGTATTTTTAAAAACCCTTTTGATGATCAAAATTCATGAGAGCCTTCCTTGGGAGCCCAAGCCAGTGCTTTTGTCTTCTGTTCCTCAAATTACACGTCGCGGTGTGGCTGATAGTTTGGCATCTTGTTTTTAAATCTTTTGATCTAGGTGCGTGGAACATTTTTGCAAAGCTGGGAATTGCTAAAACAGGTTCCCTTGATATCCCGAAAATTAATCGCCTTGGCTCTGCCTCCTCCCAAATGCCGGCTCTTTTGTTAAACGGCATAATTTATTTATTTTAAATCAAAGGTGCTGTTAATCAACGCCTCTGCCTTCCACTTCTGTACTTTTACGGCTTTTCGGAATAAAGTCCTGCAGGTTTTTTTATGACCGCCGTCAGGAATGGAATTTCCGTCGCTAAGCAAAACACCTGTTGAATGAGTCACGTCCGATTTTAAAGGCCTTTTTCGCCACGGTTGTTAAGGGAATCGCTGCGGCTGTTCAGCCAATTCCCCTGGTCGTTAAGTGAATCTGCAAAAACCTCCAGTGATGGGGAAGGAAGGAAGGAGAGAAAGGAGGGAGGGAGGAAGAATCGCAGAATAACAAGAATTGGAAGGGACCTTGTAGGTCATCTAGTCCAACCCCCCACCCAAGAAGGAGACCCTGCCTACACCATTTCTGACAAATGTCAGTCCAATCTCTTCTTGAAAGTCTCAACTTCCGAGGGCAACTTCTGTTCCATGGGTTGATGGTTCTCCCTGTCAGAAAGCAAGGATTGCAACCAGTGCCAATTGTGGTTGTAACTTGAGGACGACCTGCTTCTTAACACTCAGGATACATCGTGGAAAGTCCTGAAACCGCGTCGAAGGCAAAAAAAAAATAATAATTCAATTTTTAAATCAAGCTCCCAGCCCAGGAAAAAACAGCTGCAAGTTCAACGGCCAATTAGCTTTATTAATTATTAAGAAAGGAAGAAAAAAAACAACAACCCTCCGATGTTAACGGCACCCTTTCCATTGTTCGGCCGCGCCGTCCCTCTGTGATTTTTGGCTCTCTTTCGAACCCTTGCCCGTCGTGTTGGTATCCCACAGGGGGGTCGAACCTCCCACCACCGTCCCGGTCGCAACGAACGAAGGCCGGGAGACGCACGTCGGCTAAAACCAGGGCTTATTTTTGGGTGGGTGAGGGGCTACGACACACAAATTTGCTACGACACAAATTTGCTACGACACACAAATTTGCTACGACACAAAGGGGACTTTTTTGAGACCGAGGGGCGTGAGAGAAATGATCCAAACGGAGACGAGTGCAAAACAACCACAAACACACACACACAAAAGAAAGAAAGGAAGGAAGGAAAAAAACATAGAAAAAAAGGCTTTTGACAGGCTGGTGCTTTCCATTTTTTTTCTTTTTTTTTAAAGCATTGGTAATTGATTTTGGTTTGGTTTTGTTGTCTTTTATTAAATCTGGCCTTCCGGGAAGATTTATGTGGAGGGAAGAGGTCGGGAGACGTTCCTTTCGGCGCCTCCTGTCTTCGGCACCTCCAACCCCTGCCTGGTCTTGGGGAGTGGCCGGCCGGAGGTCAAAACCTCCGGCGAACGGTCCCCTCGAGGATTGACCTCCCGAGAGCCTGGACGGCAGGGAGACAGGGGTTCGGGGGTCCCCACGTTTTTGGGTCTGGTTTCCCGGGAACGGGGCCGAGCGGACGGAGGGGTCTCGGCGGAGATGGTCCGCCTGGGAGTGGGCTCCCGGGAACCGGGTCGGTTGGAGGCGGGCATCTGGGGGCTGGCGTCCTTCAGGCGCAGGTCCATGCAACCCGGTTGGCGGGACAGCGGGATATCGTCACCGGTCCTCTCCTTGGGCGGCCTGGCTTCCAGCTCGCTGACGTCCTGGGCGTCGGCACCCCCGAGGTCTTTCAGGCGGAGGTCCATGCTGCCGGGCTGGCGGGACAGAGGGCCGTTGGGGGTGGCTCCCGCCCGGGACCCAACCTCTTCGAAGGCTGGCATCTTCCCGGAGGAAACGGGCCGCTCGGAGGTTTTACTGGAAGCCCGGCTGGGTTTAGAGATGGATTCCTTGATGACCGGGATGGAGGGCTGCCGGAGGGGGGTGGGGAGAGATCCGTTAGACTACCCCTCCTCTTTCTCCCTGGACAACCTTCTCTCTTCCAGCCCGGAGGATGTGACCTAGCTGGGTCGTGAAACGTCTTCAGGGAAACCCTCCGAGCTTAAAGAGCGCTAAGGACCCCGCCGTCCTCCTCTCCCTCCTCCCCACTCCCAGCACGGGTGAAGTTCCCTAGCTGGGTCACGAAATGTCTGCTCAAGAATGTTTCAGCGACCCAAACGTCCCTCAGCTCAGAACACCAAGGACCCCACAGCCCCACGCCTTCTCCCCTTCCTCCTCTTCTCCGCCACCCCTTTTCTTCTAGCACAGATGATGTTGCCTAGTTGGGTCATGAGACGTCTGCAAGAAAACAACCAAGCTCAGAGAGCCCCAAGGAGTCGTTCTCCTCCCCTCCCTCCCTCCCTCTCTCCCTTCGTTCCTTCCTTCCTCTTTCTCACAAACCCCCCTCCCTTCTCGCACCAATGATGTTATCTAGTTAGGTCATGAAATGTCTGCAAGAAAGCTACCAAGCTCAGAGACCCCCCCAGTTCTCCTTCCCTTCCCTTCCCTTCCCTTCCCCTTTCCTTCCTTCCTTCCTTCCTTCCTTCCTTCCTTCCTTCCTTCCTTCCTTCCTCCCTTTCTTCCTCCCTCCCTCCCTTCGTTCCTTCGTTCCTTCCTCCCTTCCTTCCACCTCTTTGCAAACCCCTCTAGCACTGATTATGTTCCCTAGTTGGCTCATGAAACATCTGCAAGAAAGCTACCAAGCTCAGAGAGCCCCAAGGACCCCACAGCCCTCCTCTTCCTCCTCCCCGTGACCTTCTCCTCCTCCTCCTCTTCCTCCATTCCTCAAACCCCTTTCCCTTCCAGCACTGATGATGTTACCTAGTTGGGTCGCGAAACGTCTGCCAGAAATGAAACCACCCAGCTCCGGAGAGCATCCAAGGACCCTCCATTTTCCCAACCCTGACTTACAAATACAAATTGTCTATGGGTCGTTTACCTTGCCAACGATTTCTGGACACAATCCGTTGCAAGCTTGGCTTAAGGCTGTTGATTTATTCATCCATTCGGTGAGCCGGGCGGCCGCATCAATCGAACGAGAAGTGAGCGAGACTTTGGCCGGTGGGATTTTGAGGGGCATATCCCAAGTCGTCATATAGGTACCCCAAGGGGAAGCCTATAGAAAAAAGGAGAAAAAGCTCTCTTGGGCATTGGCCCAACACTGCCTGCCTCGAATTCACACAGGTGGGTTCAGGTTGGGAGAAGCGCCCAGGAAGTCCTCGGCTTACGGCAATGGAACCCTGAATGTACGTCGCTAAGTTGGAAATGGGTTAAAGGGAGTTGTGAACTCCTAAAATATTTCTATGGTCCTTTTTAGACCTGCCAATAGAAAGGGAGGGAGGAGCAGCGCAGCAACTTGCAAACCAAAAGTGCATTCCAACAATGTTTTCAAAGATAGTAACTAGGTGACTGAAGTTAACAATCGTGTGACTCACTTAACAACGGCGGGGATTCCCTTAACAGCAGCAAGAAAGGTTGTAAAATGGAAAGGATAACCAAGGTCTCGCTTAGCGACAGACATGTTGGGCTCAATAGTGGTCGTAAGTCGAGGACGACCTTATTAGCTCGATACCCGCGCTTCGGTACAATGCGGTGGGGCTTAGTTTTGGGGGGAGGAAAATAAGGGAGGGGGAATTTTGCCTCTGCCTACCAGCATCCATCGGTATTCACCTGGCTAGCGTCCTGTCAGTGTGTGAGAGAGTTGAGGGCTGTTTGGAAACTCAAACAGTTTTTGCTGTGTGAGCAAGAAGGGGACAGCAAGGAGCCTGGGCGTGGCTTAGCTCAACTGTTCTGGACTAAAGCTGCTTGGGGCTGTGAAACTGAAACTCCTCTGCTTGTGTTTTGCATTTGGAAGAGATTTCTTTCCAGGTGGGGAGGGGGAGTAGAACTCCTTAGCATCAGAGCATGTTTAATAATAATAATAATAATAATAATAATAATAATAATAATAATAATAATAATAATAATAATATAGGAAATACTCTAAATGCTCTGAGGGTCATTTGGAAAAATCCTTTCTTAGTGAGCCCCTAGAAGCCAAGAGGAAAATACAGGCCAAATGTTTGTAGGCTTTATGGTTCTGAAGATTTCGTGATGATGTGTGAGTGGCGTTTCACTTTTATACAGTATATAGAGATTATATTATATTATGAATCCAGAACGAGAACGGATTCATTCACCTGGAGCCCCCAGCCTGTCTCGCGAATGCAGCCCCTGTGTTTGATAAACCTGGGTTTGGAGTGTTGTGTGAACCGAGCGGTGGAAAACTGGGTTGCTTCTGTAAACAGCTGAAGGGTTCCATCCACGAGACCTCAGTTTAAGGGATAAAATCTAAATGGTTATGGGGTGGGGGGTGGGGGGGAAAGAGAAAGAAAATGCTCACCTTTGAGCGTGGTATGGAAGGTAGCAAATGACCTCTGTCATTGGCTATAATTTGAGTAAAGCCTTCCCGGGCTGAAGGATGCTGGAAGGAGGAAAATAAGAGTGGGTGGAAGAAAAGAGAGAGGAAAGGAAAGGGGAGGGAAAGGAAAAAAGAGAGGGGAGGGGAGGGGAGGAGAGGAGAGGAAAGAAGGAAGGGAGGGGAAAGGAAAGGAAAAAGGAAGGGAAGGGAAAGGAAGGGAAAAGGAGAGGGGAGGAAAGGAAAGGAACAAAGGAAAGAAGGAAGGGAAGGGGAGGGAGAGGGAAGGAGAGGAGGAAAGGAAAGGAAAAAAGGAAAAGGAAGGAAAGATAGAAGGGAGGGAAAGGGAAAGGAAGAAAGGGAAGAAGGGAAGGGAAGGATGGTGGAGATGGAGAGAAAATTAGAATAGAATAGAATAGAATAGAATAGAATAGAATAGAAAAATAGGATAGAGAATATAGAATAGAATAGAAGTAATAGCAGCAATAAGAATAAGAATAGAACAGAACAGAACAGAATGCAGAGTAAAATACCAGATAATATTCAGAATACAATATAATGCAGATGAAATATGGAATGAAAGGGAATGGAGTGTAATGGAACAGAGAAAAGAAAATAGAAGAGAAAATAGAATAGAGAAGAGAATAGGAATCAAAATAGAACAGGACACAGAATAAAATAAAATAGAATTAGAATACAATAACAATGTAAAATGCATTATTCATTAGCAGATTAGATCTCTTAAGATGCTTCTGATAATTTGAGGCACACAATACCAGCACATCCCACTCCTGTTCCTTCTTATTCTCCTGTGCCTACATTCTTTTTTTAAAAAAACAAAAAAAATAATTCAAAATGCAATCATCCCATTAGATTTCATCTGGCAAGATTAATACTGTTCCTGCTCTGTTTTTAACCTCCACGTTCATTATTAACAGGAATTCCATATTAATCCAGAAGCAAAACCCACAACCCCACCTAAGCCATAAAACTCTTCCCCACAGGACGGTGAGAAGGACATTCTGGGTTTTTTTAGGAAAAAAGGCTTTACAAATCTTGACTTGAAGTGGAAAACAATTAAAATATGTAATACTAGCTGGATACCCATGCTGCGCTACGAAAGTATGTGCTCGGGCTTAGTTTTGGGGAGGAAAATAAGGGGGGAGGGAATTCTGCTTCTGCCTCCCAGCATCCATTGGTATTCATCTGGCTAGCATCCTGTCACTGTGTGAGAGAGTTGAGGGCTGTTTGGAAACTGAAAGAGTATTTGCTGTGTGAGCAAGGAGGAGACAGCAAGGAGCCCGGGCGTGGCTTAGCTCAACTGTTCTGTACTAAAGCTGCTTGGGGCTGTGAAACTAAAACTGAAACTCCTCTGCTTGTGTTTTGCATTTGGAAGAGATTTCTTTCCAGGTGGGGAGGGGGAGTAGAACTCCTTAGCATCAGAGTGTGTTAATAATAATAATATAGGAAATACTCTAAATGCTCTGAGGGTCATTTGGAAAAATCCTTTCTTAGTGAGCCCCTAGAAGCCAAGAGGAACATATGTGCCAAATTTGAAGTTTGTAGGCTTTACGGTTCTGGAGATTTTGTGATGATGCATGAGTGGTCTTTCGCCTTTATATAGATAATAATAATAATAACAAGACACAATTCAGGAAGTGGAACCAAGGGCCAAGAACAGCCTTTTTAAAAGAAATGTTCATACTTCCTTATAGGTTTATAATTTATTTTATAAATTCTATTTACAACAGCCTTGTAAACAGTGACTTAGAGCTGGTCCTCACACTTACGCCCATCATAACTTATGCCCACCTGATCAAATTTTGGACACTTGGCAATTGGCATAAATTTACGATAATTCCAGCAACTTCCCAACCAGTTTCCAACCAGCAAAGTCAAGTAATGGCGGGGGAAGCCCAATTCACTTAAGGACTGCATGATTCACTTAACGACTGCAGTGATTTCAAAGTTTAAATTCAAGCAAGATTTGAATTTAAACTTGAAAGAAAGATCGATCGTTTTTTTCAAGGAAAAAAAGAACGGGAAGAAATTTCAATCCATTTTGAAGGTGATATTTTCAGGACGCTCCGAAATGCCAATGAGCATTGCCACTCTTTTAGGAGTCCCATGACAGGACACGCAAAACGCAAGCAAACTCTCCGGGACGTGTTCTCACAATCCGGGTTGGCTATATCCAGGATTTAGAAGGCTGTGTGAACCCCTCCTGTTTTAAAAAAAGGGGAGGACTTTTTTCCCAGACTTCAAAGCAACTCACCGCCTTAGTAACCTTGGGAAGACTCCAGCTTTGCAAATTCCGTGGATTATAGGCATCTTCGTACTGGAAAACCAAGCGGGAGGGTGGGAAATGAAATATATAAAGCAATCTTTCGATATATCAATGTATATGTGTGTGTATGTGTGTGTATATATGAATATATTGATTTTATTATATCAGTATCTCTCTCTCTATATATATATATATATTGATATATATTGAATTTGTTTTCCCAAATTTTGTTCTATTGTACTTTACTAATTTATTTGATTCTTTTCATTAGCTTTTGTTGTTTTTTATTTTATTTTTATTTTTGTTTAAAATATGGTTTTACATTGTGTAAGCTGCCATGAGTCACCGGCAATATAAATGGAATAAATAAGTAAATTATATATATATATATATTATATTCTCTTAAGTTTTCGCGGGTAGTTACATGTATGGTATTCAGCTTTGTTCAGGTATTTTCCCACGTCATTGTAGTTGTGCTTTTAAAGTTGTAGCAACGTTTCGGCAGAATCTCATCTGCCATCATTAGGCTCCTGTATTGTGTTAGTCAGATTTTTACATTTTTACACAACTGTAAAAGTCTGACTCACAGACGAACACAATACAGAAGCCTGATGATGGCAGATGAGATTCTGCCAAAAGGTTGCTACAACTTTAAAAGCACAACCATAAGGACGTGGGAAAATACCCAAACAAAGCTGAATACCATACATATAAATACCCCTGAAAACTTAAGAAAACATATATACATATAACATATAAGTAACATACACACACACACACACATATATATGTACTGTATATATACACATACATACATACATATAGAGATTAATATAGATTGTTAGAGATATAGATAAATATATTGAGATATATACTGATATAATAAAATAAATATATTCATGTACTATATATAATGGGGAAACAGGATGAAAATGGAGCAGATAGGGGCAGAGCCTGTTGGGAAAAGAAAGTGGGGTAGATTTGCAGCAGGAAAATATATATATTTTTAACCCCTACCCCCAAAATAAATTATCTTTTTATTTTTTTTCTCTTTGTATTGGAAAAACTTTTGCTGGGGGGGGGGGAGATTTGTGATCAAGAGGTGAAAAATGATGGGAGGGGGCTGTAGATTTCCCCCCCACCTTTCCCAGAGGGGTCGTACTGTATGGGATTTGTAGTCCCGAGTTCCCTCTGCCACCTCTGCACTTTCAAACTCGCGATGGGAGTTGTAGTCCGACCTATCTGGAGGGTGCAGTGGGGCCGGGGAGGGGGGGAATTGGGGGACCCCCCCCCTCCCCGCCCCCCGCCACGTCTCACCTGCCCCGAGCTGAAATGCGTTGCCATCGCGGCTTTGCCGGGTTTTGTTTGGGCCGTCGCCTAGCAACGGAGGGCGTGGCGGTTGAGAACAAAGGAGAGGCTCCAGCCAATGGGAGGGCGGGGCTAGGTTAAGCCACGCCCGTCTCCTTCCCGCCTGTGCCCGCCAGGCGTCGCTGTCGCTTTCGGAAAGAGACCGCTCGTCTGCGTTGCCTCGAGTCCTCGTTGTGGCCTAGCAACTTGGTTTGTCGTTGAAAAGGAAAAGAAGGTGGAAGGTGCAGGGCCTCGCTCTTAAATATGGTTGTTGTTATTATTATTATTATTATTATTATTATTATTATTATTATTATTATTATTATTATTATTATTATTATTAT